GAGAAAAGTGTGTAGTAGCTGCCTATGTCTCTGCACTGCTGCGTGAATCGACACAGACTGTGAGACCTGTTCCTAAACCGTTCGTTTCTTGCTAGAAGAAAGATATGCCCAAACTGTGCCCTGCAAGGGTAACTTCATCCTTTTGGCATGCTGGCAAGTTTACAGCTCTCCTGGTTTTCATGCCCCTGATTAAATGGAGACCTAGATAGAGGCTACTTTTTATAAGGCTCTTTTGCTGAAAGGAAGGGCTTTTATAAATGAAAAGTTCCCTGTTTGTAGCTCCCCTCCCACCCTCCTTTTGGCTGGGAATCTGCTGAGGGTGTTGACACACAACATACTTTGGCAGATGTTGGAACAGGCTTCAATTAGGGGGCCAATGTACACAACTGTCCTTCTTCTATTTTGAAATCGCAGCTGTGGCGATATATATCAGCTAAAACATTTTCCATTTGGGAGTCTTGCTGCCATCCACAGTTTAATATCACCCCATGAGCTGCCTTGCCAAGCCAGATCTTGCTAGGATTTTCTTTTGCCCCCTCTCCTGAGCACAATACTGGGGAATGCAGAAAGCCAGTGAGTTTGCAGGACTTAGGAACAAACTGGGAAAGGCCATTTCTGTTTCAGTGCATGGAGTTTCTCTGTTGAAAACAGGGAACCGAGTTTAGCTGCAAGGGAGTCCCACATTCAGTCTTGGATGAGATATTCTTGGAGAGCGGGGCACATGAATCAGTCAGTTAAAACTATTCTGCAGCTAAAATTGCACCTGAAAAACTAAGCTCCCTTGCTAAATACTGGTCTTTGATGAGTGCACCCCAGATTCTGCTTGCCCTGTTTAAAAGGATGACATTTTTTGTTAAGCTATGACAATATGAGCATGTCACCTGCCTGCACTGGTGCGCAGCTGAAGCAAAGTGCTGCTGGAAGCATGCAGAAGACCCCTCCTGCTTAGAAATCTCAAGTGCTTTGTTCCACCCACAGGAATTCAATGAAAACTGTAGGATGCAGAGAGCTAAGCTTGTAAGCAAGGACAGTAGCTTTGGCCTGGCGACTTTAAAATGTACTTGTGATGCAAAAAGCAGTGTAAATGGTGCTTGGTGCAAAATGCCTACAAATGATGGAGATTGGCACGAGTCTGGTATTTGGCAGGTCTGAAAGTCTTCAGCTGCAGAGAAGTCTTAAGACTGGGAAGAAAGAGGGCGGTAGTAAGGAAAAGAGTCCATGAGCAAGCTCTGCAGCCCCTTGTGCCTCCTTTCCTAGCACGGCCAGGTGCAAACCCCACACCTGCGGTCAGGAGTGGAAAATTCCGTTGCATGTCTTTTCACCGGTTGAATTTGGAGGTAATTGCAGCTGCCCTCACCAGGGCCTGCAGTAGGTCATAGCGAGGCCCGTTTGCCCTGTGCTTGGAGGAGTCTGCTCCTGGGGTCTGCAGCTTGGCAGAGCTGCTGCGTTTGGATGAGGTAGCTCTCGGTTCAGCTGCAGAAACCCACAAGAATCCCCTGACTGACAGTCCCTTGGCTTCCACTTCTCCCTCCATGATCTAGCCTGACACAAGTAATGTGGAAGAAGGCAGGAGATGACTTCACATCTCGCAGATAAGACTGGTGCACTCTTGGTAGTTTAAGATGTTACTAATGCAGCTCTGCTCTGACTTCTGCTGGAGATGACCACCCTGTACAAAAAGTCAGCAGAAGGGAATCCCCACACCTAAACCAGCCGTTCACAAGCCATTCACAGTCTTGTTTAGCCCAGCCATGCTGAACTGAAGCCAACATTGAAACAGCAGAAGAGCAAGCGCAGGTTTCTGTTGCTCACCTCTGCTGATCAGCAGCATCTAGCAGAATCGTTCAGCAAAGAGCTAGTGCTGGTAAAAGTCTTAAACTACAGCTACACAGTTCTGCAGAGCCTGTCTGCTAAATCATTTAGTGCAGGGACCACAGACTGACCCCAGGAACACTTCTCTTTCCTGGAAAGCAGGCTCAGCATCGCCGTAAGACTGCCACTGCTTGCAGAGATTGATGTCTCTGTGAAGATGTGAAGCAATTGGGGAGCCTGTGCTCGCTGCCGTCACGGACAGTGACCCGAGTGTGAGCCTCTTGTTGTGTGACATCCAGCCCGTGATTCAGCACGAGCTGACTGGCCATGCTGTACTCTGAGTTAACTGACAGTAAATTGCGTAGCCCGTATTCATGGCTTACAATGGCCGCTATCACATTAGGTTTGGCCATGACAGCTTTTCCTGGCACACCAGCCTGTTGTTTACGGCATGACTCAGTCTCAGCTGCCTTAGCAAGAAGGAGAGCAAATGTGTTACCCTGCCTGCTGCCCACTTGTAGTGGTGTCACAGACTCTCTACACTCTCCTGCTGGAGAACAGACCCTGCTTGATGTTTGGTGGTGAGTCTCCAACCTGAGGTGCATGCTCTGGTATCTGTGAGTACTCAAGTGAGTAAAAATACAGACAGGAGAAAATCACTTGTTTCTTGTTTGTAGAGGACCTGGGTGTTTCAGACTAGTGTACACTGGAAGGCAGGACTGAGACCAACTCCTGCAGCATCTTCCTGCCTCTTCTCCACAGCCGTGTGCTTTACAGGGAGTGTCCACTCTGCTTTAGGTTAGTCTCTCCGCAGTGTAGCGGCCGAGGACACAAGCTGCAGATAAGCAAGGGACTGCAGGGCAAGAGAGAGACTCTGTTTGGCAGCATCCCAAGCCCTAGCATCCCAACTCTTCCATGCTCTTTGTGGGTAAAAAGTTTTCAGCTGAATATAACGGGGCGTACTGAGAGGAACCTGCTGCAAGCCTCAAGGCTGCCCCTGTGTGCCACAGCCGCGGGGACTCAGGCAGGCAGCGAGCAGGGCTGCAGCGGCATCAGCCTGGCCCCAGCACAGGGGCTGTTTGTCTTCCCTCACCCAGCCCTTCGGGAAACTGGAGAGCTCTTTCTGCCGCTGCCTTGGGAGCATCTTTCGACAAGTCCCTTTTCCCCACCGTTTGGTGGCTGCGGCGGTCAGCGAGCGTTACACTGCGTGGCAGAGGGCTGCACATGCCGGAGGGACATCTCGGCTTCTCATTAATGATGAACCATCCCCCTAAGGCTTCGCTCTGTCCTGCCGCAGGGTTGCTGACACCAGCGCTTAGTCACAGTCACAGCTCCTGGAGGCCGGAGGCTTTTTGTTGAGAATGAGGCACAGAAAGTGGCATTAGAAGGGGAAGGAATCCTTCCCTTGAACAACATGTACGGAGATTTCTAAACCCTGGTGCAGGCTGCCAGGTCTTTGCCAGGCATTGCAGCAGCTCAGCTGCTCACAAGTAGAGCTTTCTCATAAGCTTTTATAATCACAAAGCTTTGGGGCAAAATCGTTTCTAAACAAAAAAAAAGTTTTTAAGCACACACAAAACCAGGCCTGCTTGGACTAAAAATCTGGCTGTTGCTCTGTTTTGGAGCCTTGCCTTCCTTTAGGTTCCCTGGTTAGCGTGGCCCTTCTGCACCCCACACAAAGGGCTCTTTTTCCAGAGGGCTGTGGTTCAGGCCCTGACCTCTCCTCTGAGCTCTCAGGAAGACGTGTGGTCCCATCACTTTCTGGGCAAACTAATCAAATAAATAATTTTTCCCCAAATTACTTCTTAACTCCCTGCTTGCCATGCTGGTTGCGAGGGTCTGGGATTTGGTCTCTGTGATGCGCAGATGTAAAGCCATAGCACTGAAGAAAGGAATAAATGCAGAAGGGAAGAGCAGTCGGTTTCTAGTGAAACAGCAGGAGTGGGTGTAAGAAGATCAAGTTTCTGATTCTGCAGAATTTCTGATGGCACCTTCAGAAGCTGCTGAAACAGTTGCTGCTTTGTTGTGCCATAAACAAAACAGGGAGCTGCTAAGAGCATTCGACTGTCAGTCACCGTTAGCTTTGTCACCCTCTTTTGATATAGTCCCAGTTTTATATAGACACTGCTGTGATTTCAGAATGTGGGGGCTCACTCACCAAAAGGCTGGGGCTATAACTGCTCTGGAAGGCAGTGGAAATGTGCAAAATACCTACAGGATGTCAAATACCAGAAAAACTATTCCAAACGGGACCCCGCTAGTATGTGTTTTGAATGAGCCTCTCTGTAGCTCACTTCCCCACCTGTAAGACGTGGATAATTTCAGTTGCTCTGAAAAGCAAGTTGTGAAGCCCCCAGATATTGCAGTGATAAGCAGCAAAGAAAAGATTGTCGGAGGAATCAGTAATTCTGTTTTTCAGGGCAGAGCTTGAGCAGAGCGCAGTCAGCAAGACACACTGACTCACGAGGATAAAACATGGGATGGAGTAGCTCAAGAAGAAGTGCCGCCCCTGTCATTAGGGATGGTCCTAGGAGGAACATGCACAGCAGGCTGAGTTAGGAGTGCCCCGGCAAGGTTGGCATTGTCTGATTTTTAAGTGCCCGATTTAGCAACTTTGTTGATGTTCTTTAGCACAAGAGCCACCTGTAATGTGAAAGTGATATTCCTCTCAGCTGAAGTGTACTTTGGGGCAAAGCTACAAAACCCTCTTGAGGTGCTCAGAGAACACAGCAGCGATGTAAATAATATCCTACCTATTGTTCCTGATGTCAAAAACAGGGGGTGGTGGTTGAAAACTGGAAAACAGGAGGTTCAACCTAAACATAAGGACATAGTTTACTGTGAGGGTAATGGAGCGCTGGAACAGGCTGCTCAGAGAGGTTGTGGAGTCTCCATCTCTGGATCCAGACTTTGAAAACACGCCTGGATGTGTTCCTGTGTCATCTACTCTGGGTGATCCTGCTCTGGTGGGGTGTTGGACTAGATGATCTTCAGAGGTCCCTTCCAACCCCGAACATCCTGTGGTTCACTGATTCTGGAATATTGGAAACACTGAGCAAAGCCAGGAGACTGCACTGGAGGAAGGGGAGAGCTGGCTGGCTGGAGGACGGGCCATCCAATCAGCCCATCGCACCGTAGTTGTGTCCTGCGCTTCTTACCAGCTCCCTCTTGTGTGGCTGACTCTGCCCGTCTTAGCACAGCTGTTCAAAGCCCAGAGCGTGTGTGTCTGTAGTGTTCTCTGCTGTATTTCTTCATATGCAAACAGCAAAAAGATACCGTTAATTTTTTCACTTACATTGCTCTTACCGCCTCATCACGTCTGTGCTCAGCTGAATTGGGCCAAGGTCAGAGCACTGGATTCCTGTATCAGTTCTGTTCTGCAGAGCCACAGAAACTGGGAAGCAGGCAGAGCCCGTTGCACACAGCCTTCCCTTTGCTTGCAGCCAGGGGGGAAGTTGGCAATGAAGTACTTGATTTCATCAGAACCAACAAAATGGCTTTGGACTTTCAGTCTGACTCTCTCTACACAGTGTGACCATTCCCTGTACAACTCGCTGCTGCTCTAAGAGCTATTCCGAGTGTTTTGCAGAAGGAAGAAACTCTTACTTTCTTACTACTTTAGTTACTAGTTGCAAAAATAAAACTACAGCAACAAGCTGTTCAGCAGAACAAAATCCTGCTCGTGGGAGCCAAGAAGTGAAGCACTTGCCAAAGTACAAAGGAATCTGTAGTTTAAACACAGGCTGGAACTTGATGTTTTATAGAAACTGAAGTGATACACAGAGAGCAGAGAGCTACCTCTCTGGTCCTGACAAGGCAAAATTGTCTCTCTGCTCTTGCAGGTTCATGATATCAAATTTCAAGCTCCAACTTTGGAAGAAAAGGAATCATGGATAAAAGCTCTTAATGAAGGGATCAATAGAGGCAAAAACAAAATATTTGATGAGGTAAGAGAAATTGTTTTCAAAGTCCTGTATTTCTGTGTCAGTTCTCATCCACTGCTTTTTTAGCTAAAAGCAGAACTCGCCTGAGCCCTTGTGCTCCCTGTCCTTCCTGCATGCCAGCCATTGTCAAAGGAAAGAGAGGGATGGTATTCAAGGCAAACCAGGTCACATCTCCGCAGGCTGGGGGCTTTTAGCCACTTCAGTTCCTAGCCCAAGAAGGCAGAACATGTAGAGAACCCTTTTGCACCATCCTGCATCTTGCTGCCTTTCCCTCCTGGCCAGGGTTGGATTCGAGGAGGCAGGGGCAGCTGGTCGAGGTGTGCCGGAGGGATGGTCTGTGCTGCTAAGAGCTCATCAGGAGGCCTACAGGAACACAAGAGCTTACCAAGTCAGCACCAGATGGTGTGGTGGCTTCGGTGGGTTTGGGATTGGGGACTGCAGGGGTGTTCCCCTCTCCCAATGGAAGCGGCTAGTGCAGAGAAGCAGCTGCAGTGATGAGTTGTGTAGAGCTGGGGCTGCAGCCTGGAGAGACTCCTCTTCTCCACGCTGCCATGATCCTCAGCACCAAGCAGCCTGGAGATGGAAGTATTGGGTTAGGACATAGCCCGGTCTTCAAGACTGGAAAAATCTGAAGTGACTCAGTCCACCAGCTATTCCGCCTGCAGTCTGGAGAGAGGTCTGGTGGAAAGTTATTCCATGGCCCCGGCCAAACCTGCCTGCCTCTCGGCTGGCGCCCCAGCGCACCTGCGCTCCCAAATTCTCCTCCCATCCTGCTGCACGGGGGGAAGGATGAAAACTGCACATCTTAGAGCTTGACTGACCTTGCCCTGCTCTCTGTTAGCTTGTAAATCAGCCCAGAACTAAACCAAAGGAGCAGCACCTATTCTGCAGTTGTTTCAGTAACTGAAAGGAAGTGCACAAAACCACTGTCACGGGAATGACACCAAAAGAAATGGGCAGGGTAACGAGGGAATGAAGCAATCGGCAAGATCTGGTTGGCGAAGGAAAGCAAAGCAATGAGTAAAAGTTCTGAGAAAAGGGCTCAGCTCTGCAGATACCATTCTAGAGATGTGATCTCTGAGAGCTTGGGCTTTGCTTTTATTCAAGCAGAGGGCAAAAGCAGGAGGAGAGGCTGGCACGTGCTCCTTTTTTGCCTAATCAAATGGCACTCAGAGTCAGCGGTTTGCTGGCAGCGGCATGTAGCTGTTCCTTGGGCCCTTACACAAAGTGGGAGGCAGCATGTGGAATGAAAGGGACCAGCTGGGACCAGCAGCAGCCTGAGAAGATAAACCCCAGCAGCAGAGAGCTTAGCAGACAGGTCTGCGCTCCTGTTTCAGCGGGTGGGAGATGTGATGTCCTGCAATGCAGTGCTGCTCAGCCCTTGCTGGAGGGACCCCACGCCACTTGGAGCTGCCTGGAAGGGCAACCCTGCTCTGTGGCCCCAAGGTGGGATCTCAGGTCACCTCCTTCCCCTGTGGCCTGGGGTTATCCTCCTTACAAGGATCCGGGTTCTCAGAGGGAGCCAGCCTCTAATTCTCATTCATTCCAGTAAGGATCAAACCTCAGATTTAAAGCGTTTCTCTACACAGGCCAGGCACAAGCTAACGTGTCAAGCCCTCAGCTGGCTGGGATTAAGCAGTTCTCCTCTGAAAGAGCTGTAAAATCACTCTGCCATATCAGCCAGAGATTGGGACCCACTTTTCCCTTTAAATCCCCATTTCCCCCTCACCAGCTTTCCCATGGTACAAAGACCAGCAAACCAGCTGACGTTTCACCATCTTGGTTGCCAGTGGGTAACTGTGTGGAGCAAACTCCAGCCCTCAGCCATCACAGTCACAGAGCCAGCATAAAGAAATACCTGCCAGGGGCCCGGGACCTCCCTCCCCACGTGCAGGAGGCAGTGGATTTCTCATCCGATTCCAGGAAATAAATTTGTTAATTCAGCTAGAATTGCGATTAATCCAGGTCACTGCTCACACCTTCTCTTCAGCATCCTGCAGTCATTAGAGCTGTAGAAGGGAAGGTCTATCACGAAGCACCACCGCTACAGTTCACCGTCAGGTCACGGTTATTAATGAGCTTTCACCTCTGAGATGGCAACAGCAATTTCGGCGCTGTGCTCGGCCACATCCAGGAGCCGGTCCAAGGCCGGGCTGCAGTGAGGACAAAGCTGCCTTGTGTCCTTCCTTCCCCACTCCTTAGGTAGCAGGGAGGTTGGCCATCGCAGACCTCTGAAGATTGGATGCTTTGCTTTGGTGTGTCTGTTAGAGAAACACAACTCCATACTGGACACGTACGTTAAATATCCATCACATACACGCAGGGCTTTGCAGGCCGGAGCTAAGGTCTGAGGCAAAGGCTGCAGTGGTGAAATATTCATCCTAGTGCTGGATTCCTTCCTGTGTGACACTGAGAACATGATAGACTTAGCTTAAGAAATTAATCACCCTCTTCCCTTTTTGTTTCTCTCCTCTTCCCCCTTTTAAAGGTGAAAGTAGATGAGAGTCTTTCCTTGGACCACGTAACTCGGGACAGAGTGAAAATGACCCACGGGCGGAGACCACCCACGAGAAGTCACCTGAAGGAGGTAAGTGCACCCACCCTGGGATCACCAAGAGCTGCTCCTTCCACTTCGGTGCAAAACCCTAGGGAAAACCCCAGGGAAAACAGAGCCCAGAGAAAGCCGACAAGGGAAACAGCTTCCTCTGGGAAAGACTGTGCCAGCACCTTTCTAACAAAGCTCCAGGTTCCTGCAGATCTGTAGCTGCTCCAACATGTTACGATATATTTAGCTTTCCGTAACTCACGAGCTGCTTCCCCGTCTGCTGAGAGTCATTATAGTTTCACTTTATTCAGAAGTGAGTGAAGCTCCTATATTTATTTTCTAAGAAATGATGATTTTGTAGTCTCAGTGGACTAAAGGCAGAAGAACTGCATGGACTGTGGGGAGAAGTTGTAATTTTTATTAAGCTAACTGGAAAAAGCAGACAAGCTTTCAAGCTTACAAGCCCTTCCTTTGGTCTGAAACAGAATACATTATTCTCCCAGGCAGTTTTATGGACTAGCCTATCTACTCTTAACTCATTTTCTGAATCTGTGACTTTTTAAAAAAATAATAGAAAAAGCAACACAAAATAAGCCTGCAGTTCATTTCCACAGGAGAGGTTCTTACTGAAGTTTGATTCCTGTGATTTATGAAAAAGTTTCCACAGATAGATTGATATTTTAGCAGAGCATTAATATCAACCAAGGAAGGTTTTATAGCAAACCTTGTGTCTTCAGACTTCCATGACTCTTAACTTATGTGTCTGCACAGCACTCAGATGACCCTTGTGCAGAAATTGAGATGCTCCAAGACTTTTTACTTTGCATAGAAATAGAGGGAGAGTGTCTCTTCTAGAGAAATGTATGGGAATGAATCATAAATTCCCATCCACTCCTCCAGAAAACCGCAGAAGAAAACATGACAAAAGTCACAGCAGCAATGAAGTGTGGGTTCTCTGCTGCCTAATCTGGGTTTGATAAGGTAGAAAGCCCTTCCCTAGGCACTGGAAAGACCTCTCTCCCCTGCTCAGCATGCTATTTTCATGAGATACCTCCAACCTTAATATCCATGAAGCCTCTTACCCTCAGCCAAATTGAGGGGAAACTAGCTTACAGATTCAGAAGCAAGAATGAGGGGAAAGGGAGGGGATGGAGCCTGCAGAAAGATGTGTATCGCCACTACTGGCTGCAGTATTGTCAAGGAAATGGGATGAATGATGATTTTCGGCGTCAAAGCAGGCCAGGCGAGGACGGGTCAGGGCCAAGCTGCCAGGATGGAGCTTGCCTCTGTCTCTCTGACGGGCTGGAAAGGCAAAGAGAGATTTTAACTCAAGTCTCTGCACTGCAGGAGTCTGTTCCTGGCTGCAGTTACGCCTTCGTGTGGTTTTGGGTTCCCTCACACAGGAACTGTCACCACACTTCTCCCTCCGGGGCACTGAGCTTACATGCTGCAATGTCTTTACTAAGTCCACCCTTTTTAGGAAGACTCTCCTACTCGAGTGATTTGCACACAACCTGTGGTTTGAAGGAGGTTTAACCACCTGAGGCTTGGCCCTGGTAACACAGGGATGACATCGGGTTGGAGGAAGCAAGCGGGAGGCAACAGCATTACAATAGTATCCCTGGGCAAGATGTTCAAGTAAAAATATGACAGTCCCAAAAGCAGCAAGCAGGGTAGGCACACTGTCAATGAAAGGGGTAGAGCGATCCAGCTACTGCAGGATAAAGAATTAAAACGTGCCAGAGCTGACCGCTTAGCACTGTCAGGAAAACCAAGAAACAAGGTTATTGTGGAACAGGCTTTGAGACATTTTTCTCAAGGGAAGTAGTCAAATAAGTTCTAGGATTTTGTCCTAATTCTCGACTGCTTATGGTTATTGCCTTTGATATTCTCCTGCAAGTTGCTGCACTATCAGGCAGAAAATAACTTGGCAGCAAAAGGCTCCTGTGTTCACAGAAGGTGTTGGTCTGGAGAAAAAGTGGGGCCGTGCAGGGGGATGCAAGCACTTCACTTGATGCCTTCAAGATTCGCTGCAATGTACATGACTTGACACAGCTTTTTCCTTTGCTGGCTGAAATGATTGAGACCTGTGTTTACTGTAGCTCATGACATTTTAGCACAGTAGATCACGTCGGGTTTCACTTACCAGATAAACGCCGGTAGAGCTGGCTACTGCTGTAAGAGGGCAGCACAGGGCGATGCCGCATGGAAGAAGCATAAGCTCCACACGTTGCTCTTGAGCTATAGAATCAGATTCTCCTTCCAGTTTTCTCAGGTTTGAGTATAAGCAGGGTGGATGTGCGAAGCAGCAACCCCTCGCTTGCCATGCTGGTTGAGAGGGTCCTGCATTTTAACTCAAAGTTAAAGTACTGGGCACAGGATTGATGATGGAATAGATATTGAAAAAATTCTCTCGTATTTCAGGCTGCCAAGTCTACATCAGATGGGATCCTGCGACTAGATCTGGATATAGTAGATAGCGGACCGCCAACTTTTGATTCCACTATCAGCGAACATGACAATGCGCCAGCTCAGAAAGAAACTCCAAAGCCACCTATGCCACCTACAAAACCCACTGCCACAAAAGATGCAGAGAACAATGTTCCTGATGAGGAACATCAGAAACCTCCGTCTCCTCTGTTGCCGCCAGATCAGAAGCTTAAGGAAGGCGTAGAATCAAAGGACAACGTAAATGCCAAGGAAGAAGACTCTGTAAGCCCAGAGGAGAATGTGGAAGGTTCCCAAACAGCAAGTGAGGAGAACAAAGAGAACCTCATTGAGGTCAGCAACAGGGGCATAGCAAAAGCTCCAGTTCCTCTTCCTAAGAATGTGCCAGACAAGCTGAAAGTAGCTTGGGACCAACCAGTCTCTGTGCCTAAAAACACAGAAGACTTGAAATCATCACGAGGTAGTAGCAAAGACAACCTTGCTGAGATTGCTGCTGCAGATGTTACAAAGCCTCCTGTTCCTCCTAAGGTTCTGTCAGAAAAAATACTAGCCACAGGGAACTCCAGCCATGGTGACCTGGAAGCTGGGGGCTGGGAAGACCTGGAGTCTGGCAGCTCCAAGCCCCCAGTGAACGGGATCGGAGCCAGTGAGGAAGCAGAGTTCACATCCCCAGCCGTTGAAAATGGAGAAGGAAATGGGAGAACCTCTGCCAAGAAGGAAGAGCAGACTTCAGCAGAAGAGACAGAGACTTCCTTAGCTGCAGAAACAGGCCATGAGAGCGTAAAAGCAACTATTGAGAAGAAAGCATCTGTAGAAAGCGCTTCAGTTCTCAAACTTCGCAGTTCTTCTCTGGGAGACTTGCTGTCTGATTCCAGAAATGCACAGAGAGCACTTCCAAACCAAGGTTTCCCCAAGGATTCCCGCCACTGCTTAGCTGAAATGGAGGAGAAAGTTTCTAATGAAAGGGAAAAGGCAGAAAAACTTCTGCAGAAGGTTTTACGCGAAGGGCTGGAACAGGCCCAGGAGGGGAACGGACCCCCAGTGATGGCAGAGACATTGCTCAATGAGGCAGTAGAACAACTTCGGCAAGCCACGCAAGTTTTGCAAGAAATTAAAGGCCTTGGAGAACTGAAAAAAGAAGCGACACAGAAACAGAAAGAAAAGCAAAAGGATCTAGTGACTCTTTACAGGAGAAGTGCTCCCTGACATATTCTTCCAAGAGACTTATTTCTCAAAGCTAAACGTTTGCCATTTATGATTTGTGCCATTGCTAGGCCAGTGTTTAAAAGGTGGTGTTTTGCTGTGCACACACCACGCTTATGGGACAGAATTGAGCTTTCAGTTGTAGCATCTTTCTCTGTTTCTTCGTGTTGTACGCGTACCGGTCCAGTTCTAATCCTCTTAGCACAGCAGAAGGTTGCGGGACATCAAATGGTTTTAAAAATGTGAATGCTCTCTAAGGACTCTGTCCAAAGTCTTTTCAATGGATCAGGCCTTTAAAATTCCTGGTAATCAAATGAAGCCAGATTTTTGAAAGGAGCGGAATGACTATTCCAGCAAAACCCCCTGTCTATCTGTATTTACAGGCAAGCAGATACCAGATTGAACTGGCACCTACCTGGTTTTCCCAGTTAAATCATGTAAGGATAAAGGTAGTCAGTGTTTGTTCACTTGCTGGCAAGGTTTCCCAGACCACCTGGCCCAGTGACATCTAGGAATGTAAAGATAAATGGTTTAATCTTCTCCAAAAATACTCATACAACCCACATCCACAGTTAAAAAAGTGACCTCACACAGAGGCAAACAGAACTGGCCAACTCCTGATTACAAGTAGTGTCCTCAGATCTGGAGCAGCTGTGGGAGGGCACCCTTCTGAGTCCGGCTCCACAGAGCTTTAGGTGTCCATAAGTGAACTCAAGTCTCAATGCGTCATTGCCAGACAAATATTAATTGTTCCTGTTTCATTAGTAGACAAATTGAGGCGAAGAGCAGCTTACACTTGGCTTTTGAAGGAGTGTCTTCCGGGAGCACAACACATTGATTATTGAGGACCATCCCTGTCTGGTAACTCTGATCTTCTCAGAGTCGTTGGGAGCAATTAGCCAGGAGAACTTGTGTCCAGGAGATCTCCAGGAGCTTCCCAGGAGAGCTGTGATTAAGAAGCTGTAGGGCTGTGTGTTCCCTTGGGTGCAGGCTCACTGTCTGTGTTGTCCTGCAATGTTAACTGACAGGAGCATGCACATGAGGCAGCGGGTCTGGATGAGATCCCTCTTCCTATTTAACATGTTTCTACCTGCTGTGCCCTGGCTAGCCTGAGAGCCACGGTTTGGCACAGACGTCTGTTGACTGGAGGGAAAGACACTTTGCATGCACAACTTCGGGGCTGGTCCCGGTGGCTGAAGTCTATGAAAGTAAAAACGCAGAAGGGTCCGAGGAAGGTATTGCGGGAGGTTCCGGCACAATTCCCACAGCTCCCCTGCCCCACCTACTGAAAACAACCGCAGTTCCCATGGTGTTTAGTGATTACAGCTGTGGTAAAGTCATGTCTTTGCTCCGCTGCTGTATAGCCCGTGCCTGAGCTGGGTCCCCTCCCCTGGTCTCTATTGTTGCTCTGAGGAGAATTATATGACAGCCCAAAGGGCTTCTCTCCTTTGCTTGAGCCAGATCCTGGAAGCACAGAGAAGGGTGATCTTCCCAGTCTGGTTTTCAGGAGTGACATACTCCCTAAGCTGTTTTCTTTCATTTGCCAGCACTGCACTCTTAGCTCGCCCATTTCTTTTCCTTCTGTTCTTTCTTTTATAACTTCCCATTTTCCACAAGGCTGCAATGGGCTGCAAACATCCCCCATAACAGCAGCCCAGTAAAGCTTATTCTGAGCCTCTTCTCAGGCTAGGCAGCTGACACTTCAGGTCTGAGCACAGAAATGTTGGCTTTGGGCTCCCAAATGTCCTGTTTTTCACCCCTGGGAGCCAGCAAGACCAGTAGTGACTAGAACTGATACTTCTGCCTCTTTTGATTCAAGCAGCCTTGATTTCAGTGGTCTGTCCCCCTCTCGAGACAGCCACAGACATCACATGGGAATTCACTTGTCTGTTACTCTCTTTTGTGGGGAATTCACTTGTCTGTTACTCTGTAACGTGGAAAGTTCTACACGGGCAAACACTCAGGGCGCAGGTGCCAAAAAGCTTAGCTTTGAGACAAAAAGGTTCCTCCGTCCCAAGCCCACTCCAAGGCACGCAGCCTGGGGCAAACTCCGGATCTGTGTCTTTTGCTGCTGTAGATTCAATGTGAGCCGTGGGTCTTATTTGCCTTTCCAGACATACTTAGGACAAGGGCTAATAACACAGACAATATTCAGTGCCTATCTGCTATCCAAATGTATTTTTTCTGCATGTGCACTTTTGTTTACCGAACACTGTGTGGTATGAATGTGAGCTGTCAGAACCTGGTGCGCACTGGAAGTCGAGGGATATCAGCCTCAGAGAGCAGGCAGGCTTTTGACAAGCTGCAGGTCTACAGCAAGAGATAAAATGAGATGGGGAAGAAGCAGTTCACACCAACAGGAATATGCACAACCCGGGGCACACTCCGCCTACAGGTTCATCTCCCAAAGCTGAAGCCAGTCCTAAACTCCAGGATGGGCAAATCAAAATCTGGAACTGAAAACTCAGGAGAATGAAAACAGCTTATGGGATAGCTCAATCCCCTGGTTTATATACAAATGCTTTTGCTCTCGCAGGTGTTTTTTTTGGCGGCGGTGTGTTCTGTGGATACCCAGCTGGCAAAGTGCTGATGAAAATACCCAGACAGCCCTATCTGTTCCAGCCAAACCTACAGGATGTGCTTATATTTACTGTATATTTTTATATTATACTGAATATTCTAATGAATAAGTGTCTGACATTTTACTGAATACCCATCTGTAGGAATCTTACCAGATAAAAACCCCCATATCTGTTAGGAAATGGGCAAGTTAAATCATTTTACAAGCTACAGCTAATTACTGTATTTGCTGTACTAACAGAACTTGCTAGATTTGTATTATGTCTTGTAAATAGGTATAACTTAAGTGGAATCTCTGTAGCACCCAGTAACTCTACTGCTGAAAACTCTATGTTAGAGGCTCTTCAGTTTTAACCGATTTTTCTGATTTCCTAAAATGTCTCGCCTTGCCATGAGCCTGAGGTACCTGAACTTCACAGGAAACAACGCATCATGTTCCTTTTGCAGTTTTCCCACTTGCCCTTCTCGTTCTGGACATGAGCTAGGCCCTGCCTCAGGCTGGAAACTGCCTTCTGGGGTGTTTTTACACGCTCCTCTGAAAATGGTAGTCCTGGTAGGAGTCAGAGACAGGATCCTGGTCTGCTCTGACCTCAGGTGGCAACTCCTGTCTTCAGTGTACATTTTGCCACCACGCACTTTTAAAAAGGAATCTTCCTTTAAACTTACACTTAAACTTCCATCTAATTTCTGGCTGCACTGAGGCTGGTTTTTTTCATGCCTGAAAACCCTCTGGGCATAGAGCGCTGGGGTGTGAGTCTGTGTTTCGGGCTGTGCCACCAGGTCTGTGACAGGAAGGAAGTGAGTTTGCAAGCAAGTGAACGTGGATGACTATCTGAAAAGCAGCTGCTACAGCCATGGAAAGGCAGCGCTTTGTCTCCTGCTTGTAAAGAGCTTTTAGATTTGGCAATAAACCCCCTTTTTAAGTATCAGCTGTCTAAGAGCCGTTTGTCCTAAACAGGAGCAAAGAGGAGCCACCGGGACAGGCCCACGGAGGCTTTGCTCTGGAGGAGGGCACGTTGCACGGGCTGTGGTCAGGCTGGGGTGAGCTCGATGCTGAGCTAACCACAAACCCAGAGGAAGGAGAAGCACTGGGGGCTGTGGTTGGCACAGAGCTGGAGCCGTGCAGTTCCTGAGTCCGCCCAGGCCCGTCAGCTTGGCTGCCTCGGCCAGAAAGCATGGCCAAGACCAAGACCTGCTCCCACTCCTGCTGGAAAGCAGTGGGAAGCATCCTCCTTGCTGACCTCACCAACGGCGGTGTCCAGCAACGCTGTCTGAGCTGCCCTTAACATCTTCTCGTGGACTCTCTGGTGTCTACAAAACATGGAGCTCACTCAGCAGTTGTCACCTTGGTGGTGAGCAACACCACAGCCTCATTCCTCTGCCCACATGCCAGTAAGCTACAGGAAGAGAAGAAGCTGGTATCGTAGTGACTGCTTCCTTTCTGCGAAAACTGGGTAGAAACTGGTCAGGAGGTTCAAAAGTTATGAGGAAGCAGGGAAATGAGTGCAAGTATCTGCGCTATCCTATTGCACAAGCTTGGCTTCATTTGGATAAAAAACATGTGCTTAACAAACCCTCTAACCCCTTGCTGGGAAGGGGGATGTTCCTCAAAGGAATCTCCAAGACACAGAGTTGGTTTCTTCAGATACACTGTAGAGAAAGGCACTCTCTTTCTCTTGCACTAAGAAAACAGACAGCACATCACATTTTGGCCTTAAATTGATGGTGCTAAGTCTGGCACTATGTGAAATGTGGTTTAAAAAAACACAAAAGAAAATACATGGTGTTGGCATATGAAATATCTGCCTGACTGCTTTTAATTCAATGGATAGCCATGGGTTACTGCTTCAAAGAGATGATGTTGTCATGTAATCTGAAACAGAAAATGTAGGTCCTAGTTTCTATTCAGTGATCCCACAGAACTCAGTGATTTGCGACTGAAAAAGAGCAGAAAGAGCTTGTCTAGTCCCAGGGTGCCAAGAGGTTTACTACACCATTGGCTAGTCTACTCGGATGACTAATTATTGCTACTAAAAAATATGTGGTTTATCTTAAATATGAGTCATCAACAGTGAAGCTCTCCAAGATTGCCCCTTTCCAGCTTAAGACTTGGAAATTTTGCAGGCACAGAAGATAGCCACTGAGTTTAGAGACTGGAGATCCCCATTTTGTTATGCTCTGCAAGTTCAAATACTTCAGAAAGCCAGGGCTTTATTTATTCCAGGAAACTTAGTCACCGTGTTCTTCTAGCGCCTTACCTCACGGCTAAGCCGCCCACAATATCCCTGTGACAACCACCCCTGTGATGTTACATTAACGATTTGGTTCTCAGCAGCAAGCCTGCTGTCCCGCGAGGTCAACGCGAGGTACTTTCAGCCATTGATTTTCCATCCCCTTCTGGATTTCAGAGACCCAGTCCCACC